GGCATTGGCGGCAGCCATTAAATAAGATTTGCTCAAGAGACGAGCTTTTGCACGACGGAGCCCTAAGGCCTACCATACACACATGCTAGAACCCTGAAAGCAGTCTAACCCTAAACCCCAGGGCTTTGCAGTCTCTCGACTCATGTGCCTCTGTAAGCTCGACCGTCAGGCGTTGGACCTCTTCGTAGCCTGGAGTCGATCTGAGAAGGTGTTTGAGAGTGTATATGGGGAGGGCTTGGGGTTTGGAGGTGACGTGTCTCACCCACACATTGGCCTGTGCACTGAGTCTAGATGTGAGCATCTATGGTTAGGTGGTGCACTCTGCTGCGCTTCAATAGCATCTAGATTGAGGGTCAGGGTTTGGCAGAGCAGATACTACAAAGCCGATTCACTGACCAGTATTGCAACCCCTGTTGTAGATTCAAATTCCAGGGACAAAAGACCGATCCTTGCGAACAGGAAACAAAATAAAAGGATGCAGCCTGTGATGGTGTCGCGCTTCCAGAACCCTTCATGCGCTCTGCATGCTCATTGAAGAACTCTTGCCTCGTAAGCCTCAATTCCTCGACTCCGAAACAACCCCAAACCCCAAGCCCTACAAGATCAAGATCAAAGATCCTGTGTCCTGATTGGAAAGCCCACGGACCCTTGAAGAGCCCTGAACAAAGCTTCAACAAAGCACAGGCAGGTGGCTTGTTTTCTTTAAGGCAGGCTGTAGAATCGACATCCTTGGTTCGGCAGTTTAGGGTTTGAGGATTTCGGTTTGGACTTCCGGGTTTCGGCATCTTACGATTTATGCAAGGATCTACCAGGATTATGAGTTGGGGCGTGAAGGGGTTCGGGGTTGAGCCTTGAGGGTCCATCGTACCTCATGATTTCGCAGTCGGGTCTTTAAACGTAGGTTAGTCTCCGGTGTGTTTTTTGATGACTATGTACTGGGACCCTAAGACTGTGGGCTTAGTATGGAAACTGTTGGAAGGGTTGATTGCAAGAGGATTAATGTTTCGGGTTTCTGATGATGTTCAGTTTCACTGTTTTGGGGGTTTGGAGCTGTTGGTCAAGTGCAACAGCTCAGGTAGTTCCGGGTCTAAAGTGTTGGGCTGCGGGCTTACAGGAACTGAACCCCTGTCAGAGCTGACGAGCCCAAGGGCCACGTGAGACCTCATCGAGAACACACGGAGATTGCCCCAATGCGTGACTCAGCTGCTATTTACATTGGGGACAGTAGATGAGCTCCTTTCCTGATGCCACCGCTCAGAAACAGTCCCAAACTACCCGTTCAGGCAAAATGCACGATCTCAGATCGAGGAATGCAAACGACATTGTGATATACAGGCTTCGTGCGGGGTATCTCTCTTCTTCAACAGCCTGAGTAGACCAGACGAAATCCAAACTTGGCCATTTCGAAAAGGGATGGCAACCAGGTCATGTCATTTAGTTCTTTCTCTGGTCATGGCAGAGTGTTCCGGGTTCGATTGGCTGTATAGCCGTCTACAATCCATCGTCCCCAGTATCGTCACAGCCGTAGACTGCCTAACGACGTAACCATGAGAGTACTGAAGTCATTGGCAGTCACTGGAATGCTTCTGCCTAAGTGGGCATCTTCTGACGGTGTTAGCCGCTCTTCTTCTCCACATCCTTTTACTCTTATCCCCAGTAGCATCGTTCCCTTCTCAATCGGCCAGGATGCACATGGAATTTCAAGTCCTCGAGATCCGACTCTTGGACAAGCCTTGGAAACTGATACGACAGACCCGTGCAGTTTTCACTGGGGATGATGTGAGCATGGGGATTAGGGCTTAAGCCCGAAGTTTGTTTAGGATTGTAGGCGTGGCTTGGAGTTGGGGGGTTTACGGCCTATGGCAGACTTCGGGATATGAGGCTTATAAGGTCGGCCCAAGTGTGGTGGTGGCTTCCCTGCAAGGCTCGGGAGCAAACTCCTCAATTGCTTAATCTTCAAACTGAAAGCTCTACCTGAAACCCGTCGTCAAGACAACACTTCAGGTAACTTGAAATCCTCATGAAAACCGAACCAAAGCTGCCTGATTTCTGTTTAGTGTGCAGGGGGCTTGAGTCCGCATTGCTGCCGTGTGGTCTCTGAGGACGAGACTTCTTCGAGGTCAGCTGTGCTGCGATTCGATCGCTCAGCTCCTGCCCACGAACGAATCGCAGCTTGGAGGGGTTTGGGGCCCAGTGCTGATGTCGAATGAGCAACCTCAAGGATCAAGGATGTAAGGCCTTTACTTATGTCACTCTCCCTGGACTTGCAACCTCATGCGTTGAGGATGGGCGTGTTGGTGAGGTGTGGGGGAATGAAGGGCACGTCAGGTTGTGGAATCCCCCCTGCCTAATCCCAAACAAATCCCCACTAATCAATCCTGAATCCGGAACTGTATATGAATCCAAAACCCTAAATCCCCAGCTCCAAGTAAGCTTCGAACCCACTCAGGATTAGTGCCTGTCACAGATCCTTGAAGGAAGTGGGGGTCCTCGCAGCTTTGGGTCTTAACCCTATTTAATGTCTCTATCCGGTGCCCTCCTTCCAAATCCTGAAGCCCCATGCCCTGAATCATCCCTAGCTTAAGCTTTGCATTGCTAAAACCTTACTGGCCCCGGCAATGGCCGTAACAAAACAAATGTGCATAACTTATGAGTATACACTTACATAAAAATATATACATATCAGTAGATATATCTATATACACACATACAGAGGTACATATAAATAATATATATATATATACATATGAATATTTATTGGGATGGGGACTGTAAGGGGATATCATTGCCAATTGCGTCTAGCTACTCATACTTCTACAGTAAATCCTTCGGCCTGGACGGGAATCGCCTCTACGATTGCTGCTGCCGCCTCGCGCCCGGGTCTTCGGATCAGGCTTCAAAGAAGTGGAACAGGGCTTCAGGGTACTTGGGTCTTTCTCTAGGTTTTAATGGGCTTACGGGTTTTCATAGTGTACAGCTTTTTACGGCTTCGTCTGGTTTTCTAGGGCTTATGGGCGGTAGGGTCTTTAGTGGTTTAGGGCTTTAGGGCTTCTATTGGTGGAGTGCTGATGCTTCGCAACTTCGGCTGCTAAGTTTGGGCTTCTGGCCTTGTAGGGTTCTGGGAGGCATTGAAACAAGTGTTGATCCAGTTACAGTACGTTCGCGTAGCACTGGTCAGGATTATGAAGCACTGGAATCTCAACAGGACATTAAGATTTAAGGAAGACGTGCACAAACCTTACCCCAAAAGGCCAGAGACTGAATAGCGAGCCCATCTTGAAGAGTAAAAACTCACCTCGAAAAG